GCGACGGACGATGAGATTCTCGAAACGTGGAGTGCCCGGTCGCAGAGCTGGGAGAATCTCAACCAGGACTTGGGAGGACGCCAACTGCGGTGTATGTTCCAGTTGGAAAATACATACAACAAGCAGCTAAACTCGGATTCTTATGAGGGTAGGTGGATGTCGCGCCCAGTTGTGATTCGTGAAGCTGAGACGCCCTAGATGATGACGATGAGACGAGCTGAACTCGCATGTTAAAGCTGTGTATTGCTCTTTATCAATCCATCATAGGTACTCTCGGTTGAGCAAAGGATGCGGATATTTGCTATGACAATGTTCAGTTTTCAGTACTCATGCAATGTATTGGCGAGTGGCACTTGTCTTCATATAGCTACCCTGAATACTGCGATGTTGGTATCTTGCTTGAACGCTTTCGGCTAGTCGGTTAACTTCTCGGATACTCGGACGTTGTGCGCGCTGGAAAAAGGCATGGTAGACAGCCTACTAAATCATGAAAATACGGAGATAAGAGGTCGTGAGACCCTGTTACTATTGTGTTACCACCAACAGAGGTGCACTACTTTGTAACTCTGGGACAACGCATATCCTCCTGACCAAATTCTAGTCTGAGAGGCTCGAGCCGGAGATAGGCCTTTTTCCAAGTGAAAATTGGGATTTCATCAAGAGATGGACAGCAATGCTCAAGTATGGTCAAGGAAAAGATGCTTCTGATTAGTTCCAAATTCGCTTCTCCCTTGCCTTAGAAGGCAAGAGTAGTACAATACAGACCTTGGGGTGGCTGTGTCCCAACTCGGCTCCGGTCAAAGTAAGCGCATTTATTATGACATAGTATTCTGGTATAGCTTGTATTAGGCTCAAATAGACAAAGTAACTGAATGGGGGGACTACCGGGAGACGGGAGACGCGTGCAAGTCGCTGCCGGCCTCTACCTGTCGAGGCTCAGTTCATGACGAGTACTTCTACGGGAAAATTCCCCATGTAATTGACGGATAGGGGTGTATTGAGCCTCTGAGCAAGTTATAACTCGTAATATGTATCGGAATACACGCTCCAGCATCTTCTAATCCTCTTCCATACGAGTGTACCGAATTTAAAGTTCTAAGAATACAAATATATACCAATGGAGTCCAGGTCATTCGACATCTTCTGCAAATTCCCTCGTACCTCTCTCAAAGCTCACCAGACTGGACCGTTTATATGATTCTCTAAATGTTTGAGAAGCCATACGCCACCTAAATTGACGATAAGAGATTGAATCGTCCCCTTAGTGGACTTTACATCTATTATCCTGGTCCATTCTTTCGAAAATCCTCTCCTACCACTTTTACATGAAATGAAAGCCCTGTGCTGCGCCGTATACTGAGCATAGTTCCTGGC